AGTGAAGCATTAACTTGCTTCTCTTCCCAAAACAAGGCGACATACATCTTGTGTTGTTAGTTGTAACTGAGTTGGCTCCAACTCACGGTGACCTTATGTATAACAGAACAAAACAGTGCCTGGTCCTGTGCCATCTTTGCCATCAACCTGGGGTCTCATCTTCCAGCACTGTATCAGGCAATATTCTGTTGACATACATAGGGTTTTCACTGGTTATTTTTTGGAAGTAGATAGTCAGGCCTTTCTTCCTAGTTTGTCATGGTCTGGAAGCTCCACTGAAACCTGTCCACATGGGTGGCCTTGCTGGTACATAAAATACCTGTGGCCTAGCTTCAAGCCTCATACCAACACACAAGCCACCAAAGTAAGGTAGTTGTAATGGACCTTCAAGTGTTTAAGGAAACAAACACCAGCTTAACCTAGAAAGGTAGATCTACCTTAACTCAGTTTCTATGCATGATGAAATTACCTTAGACTTCCTCGTTGTAAAGAGCCCTGGTGGTACAGTGGTTAAGCACTCAGCTGCTAACTGAAAGGTCAGAGGTTTGAGCCCACCAGCAGCAACATGGGAGAAAGATGTGGCAGTCAGCTTCTCTAAACATTACAGCCTTGGAAATCCTATGGGGTAGTTCTGCTCTGTACCATAGGGTCACTATGAGTCGGAATCAACTCGACGATAATGGGTTTGGGTTTGGGTTTCCTCCTTGCAGGCCAAAGTGGACTCTACACAATCACTAATACACTTTGCTGTACCTGGATGTCTTGAGCCAAGAGGAAAGGTCAATACAAAAACTTAAAAGAAAGCTTCATGATTTTGTAATATAAACGTCACAAGAGACAATTTGAACAGATTTTGTACCAGCCCTGTAATTCAGATTAATCAGAGTATCCTAGGAAGCATATTACATATAGAAAGGAAAGGTGGACATTGTTGGGATATAATTCTCAATGGGTTTCTCTTGTTTCTGCATGTCTTCTGAGCAAGAGGTATTAACAGTTTTGTTCTGGACTACCTTCTCAAGAATGTTCATACAGGAAACAAACTTGAAAAACTACCCCAGAGATAGGGTCTTCCTCTGGGGCAGAGGGCATACTTGTTTGCTGTCCAGAAAAATAAAGATGTCTTCCTAGAGGCAAAGGTTGAACAGGTTAGGCATTCCCTAAGATTGGGAGTTCCCTAAATTGGGAGTTCTCAGCTATGGTACAGACTCACTGTGTGTGCAGCATCCACCTGGGTCTTTCTTTCTCCAAGGACTAGGAAGGCAAGGAAACCAATATGAACATGAAGCTCATGCTGCCTATTGTGCTATCATACAATCCTTTATCTCTGACCTAGAAGTTGTCTGTCAGCATCTATGAAACTGTGGCAGGGTAACTTGTTAGCTGTCAATCACGGTAAAATCTAACATACTTCATATCTTAACAGATGTCAGATTTTGTCAAATGCTTTTTGCATCTACTGAGATAATCATCTGGTTTTACTGTTGTTAACATGGTGAATTACTGATTGATTCGCAAATGTTAAACAAACCCTGAATTCCTGGGATAAACCTCCATTTGATCAAGATGTATTATTGTCCTTTCACTATACAATTGGATTCAATTTATTAAAATTTTGTTTATAATTTCTGCATCTATGCTGATGAGAGATATAGGTCTGTAGTTTTCTTTTCTTGTAATGTCTTTGGTTTTAGAGTCAGGGTAATGCTAGCCTCATAGAATCAGCTGAAAAGTATTCCTTCTCCAATTTTTAGGAACAGGTTGTGTAGAATGAGTATTATTTATTCCTTATATATTGGATAGAATTTACCAATGAAGCCTTCTTGGCTACAGTTTTCTTTTTGGGAACGTTTTAAAGTATAATTTTTAATTTCTTTAACAGATACAGGGCTAGACTGGCTATCTATTTCTTCTGGAGTGAGCTTTGGTAATTTGTATCTTTAAAAGAATTTGTACATTCCATCTTAGTTGTCAAATTTATGGGCATAAAATTGTTTACAATATTCTGTTTTTATCCTTTTAATATCTGCAGAATCTGTAGTGATGCTACTTCTCTCATTCTTGATATGATATTGCTGATTTGTGTCTTTTTTTTTTTTTTCCTGTCCAGTGTGACTAGAGGTTTATTAATTTTACTGACCTCAAAGAACCAGCTTCTGGTCTTATGGATTTTTCTTTTTTTTTCTTTTGTTTCACTGATATCAACTCTGACCTTTAATATTTCCTTTCTTCTACTTAATTTAGCCCTAATTTTATATTCCTTTTCTAGTTTGCTAAAGTGGAAGCTGGGATCATTGATTTGTTTTAGGAAAGATATATCCAGTCCCTGTATTCTATCTTGCCTGCAAGTGGAAGTTTACAGCTTCTACTTTGTTTGGTAGACTATCACAGCTTATTTTGGCGCATTTATGTATTATGAACATATCTCAATCAATTAAAAGTATAATTCTGCTCCACAGGTTTCTTAATACCACAAAGTTAATACCATGATGTTACATTCCACCAAAATTTGTATTCATGTATCAATTGCATATACAAATAATCTTCCCTCCAAGGCTGAACTTTTAAAATAAATTTACAACAGCACCCACAATACAAATTGTACTTTTAAACAAATGAATTTCCAAAAAACTTTTTAAATCCATGAATTCAAGACTTCTTAAATCCATGAGAAAGAAGTTAAATATTGGAACAAACTAATTTTCTCTTTGAAGTACCTGGTGATTATATAAAACTACCAACATTTAACTTTTTGCAAAGCTCTTCTGCTCTTACATGCAGGTGCAGAAAATACATTTATATATCACTCCAAAGAGCATGGAAACCCTGGTGGTATAGTGGTTAAGAGCTACAGCTGCTAACCGAAAGGTCAGCAGTTTGAGTCCACCAGGCGCTCCTCAGAAACCCCATAAGGCAGTTGTACTGTCAGATAGGGTCACTATGAGTCAGAATTGACTCAACAGCAACAGGCTTTCTTTCCTGAAGAGTATGACTTTAGTTAAATCATTTTCAATTCCAAATTTTCTGCACACATGAAAATTAAAGCAATAGCTGTTAATGTACTGGATTATCTGAAAAGAAACAAACTTACCTAGTATAATATTTCTCAAAGTTAACTTTAATATGTCACAATAGTTAAGGTTTTGAAGATACAATTTACTGTTTAACCTGTGGACATCTCAAACTCACTGTATGCCCAAAACTGAACCCACTTTCTTGCCCATCAAGCCTACACTTCTCTTGTACTTAACACAAGACATCCAAGCTAGAAACCGTAGTCATTTCACCTCTCTTTTCCCCCACATCCAGTCAGTCAGCATTCCTGTTGATTTTAATTCAGCAAAATTACTGAATCTACCTCCTCCTCTCTAACTCGCTACTTTAAGTAAGGTCAATCATCTCAGACTTTGATCACTTTAAGAGACTTTTAGCTTCTCTCACTTCATTCCAATCCACTCTGCATACCACAAGCTTAGTAATCTTTCTTAGTTATAAAAACAATCATGTCATTATCCCATTCAAATATCTTTGACAGTGAAGTCTCCAGTTATTGCAGGGCAATCCAAACTACACAATATGGCATACAGTCTGGCCTCAGCTTATCTTTTCAGCTTTAGATCCAAATACTTTTCCATCCTGTTACACTGTTTCACTTTGCTAGCTGCTCCCTAAGCCATATACTTTAACATCACTACTGTTCATGTTTTTCCACTGCCCATGCAGTGGAACATTTCATACATACTACAACATGGTAAGAGAGCCCTGGTAGTGCAATGGTTAAAGCACTTGGCTGCTAACTGGAAAGGTCGACAGTTTCAACCCAGCAGCCCCTCTGCAGGAGAAAGATGTGGCATTCTGCTTTCATAAAGATTTACAGCCTTAGAAACCATATAGAGCAGTTCTACTCTGTCCTATAGGGTCGCTATGAGTCAGAATCAACTCCATGGCAGTGGGTTTGGTTTGGGATAACATAGCAATTAGCACACGATATTATTATTTGACTATGAGTTCTTCAGCAGTCATGGTTTATTCACCTTAAAAATTCCCAATCCCTACTAGTGTGCCTGAAACATAGTAGATGAACAATATAGCTCAACAAATGATACTCCAAGTATTCAGCTATGCACAATAAACAATGTATCAACATTTAATTCTTATTCTGAATACAAGTTTTAACCAACAGTTAGAATTAATAACACTTGAGGAAATTAACAGATGAAAAATAAAGTTACTGACCAAATAAGAGATCGGGAACAAGAGGGACAGAGAAAGATAAAAAGCAAAATATGTTGATTATTTAGGATGGAAGCCAGGGAATAGAGCCAGAGAGAAATTATGGGGAAAATCTCTAGTCTAGAGCACTAGTTCAAGAAAACACACTTCACCGGAAGCTAAGAATGAGCAGGGGGCAGAGGAGCCAGCGAAGTGGCCTGTCAGTCCCGCGCAGTCAGCGTGTGGGGTGGTCCTGCAGAGCTGGTAACACATTCAAGGTGTTCTGCTTTGAATAACTAGAATCTCGGGTTCCCGCGCGGCTTGGACTTTAGATACTCCACCCTCGGGAAGGCACACCCTTGTCGGGCTTTTCCTGCAGGACTGATGGCCTGTGCGATGCACCCAGGTACTCCCGCCCGAGATAGGGAGCGCCCTGCAGAGGAGAATGAAAAAGATGTATGCCTATGGGGATGGGGGGGCGCTCAAGTCAAATAAGCAAGTTTTCTTCTTTTTTTTGAGTGCCAGTTCCTGAGGACACAGAGAAGTACAAGAGAGATACGGTCCTTGCCCTCGTGGCATGGCTTTCAAAACTACTGTGGAAACACGACGGCCAAAGGCGGAGGAAAGGGGGGGGTAGGGGGAGCCCTGCATTTCCCCTCCCCGACTCCAGATTCCTAGAGCCACCTCCCCTCAGACGCGGAGCGGTGGCGGCCGCAGGGAACCGCTCCAGGTCCAGCCTGGGCCTCCTCCCGTGACCCTCGGCCCAGGACGGTACCCTTGGTTCTCACCGAATCCTTTAATGAGCTCGGTGAAGACCCCGGGGTCGCTCTCCATAAGGCACCACTCCCCAGCATTGCCCGTCATGGCCCGACCGCACGCCGCCCCCCGCACCAGGTGCCGCCGGTCACAGATCTCGGTAAACCCGCCGCTGAGCTCGTCAACCCCACGTCACCCCGCCTACTTCCCGACAGCCTCCGGGCGCCGTCACCTGCAGCGCGTCGGAGCGCGGGAGGACGCTCTAGCCATCCGAGAGGCATCGAAACGCTCCTTCGGCCTTGCAGGACCCGTAGCGGATTCGGAAGGGGCAGGGGCCTGAGAAAAAAAGGGCGGGGATTCAGAGCGCCGAAAGAGGTAACATCCGGGGTTCTCGCTAATCTGGAGGGAGGGCGGGGCTCGATCGCAGGAACGGAATCTGAAAGCTCCGGTGGCCGTAGAGCTGGAGCAGCTGCTGCCTTCCAGGCCGCCGACTCCTGTGATTTCCCAGCGGTGCGGTGAGCTTCTACCAGCGGCGCTGAGGGTACAAGGGTGTGCTGGGATCTTGGCCGCCAAGCACAGGTGAGGAAGGTGCGGGAGGCCGGCTGAGGGGCCCTTTGTGCGGTCTGAACGGGCCCGAGGACGCACAGGGTCTCACGGCTCCTCCGTGGCCCTCACCCTGCATCCCAGCGACAGGGGCAAACACTTCGCCAGACCATCGTTCTCCTTTGCCCCGCCTCTGCGCCCTGCCCATGCTGGGTAGCGGGACCAGCATCGCTGTAGACACATCCTCGCCGAGCCGGGCGGCACTCTCCCAATGGTGGGCCCTTCCCGAACCCGAGACCCCTTCTGCTTCTAACTGCAGAGCTTCCTGCAGGCCTGCGTCAAGGGCGCCTGTTTTACTCCTCCTCTTCCTCCTTCTCCCCCGGCTTCTGCGTGGAGGGGCGTTGCCGCTGGTCGGGGGTTTGGGAAAATCTTTGTGGGAAGAGGGAGAACGAATTTACCCAAGAGAGAATGACGAGGGAGAGGAGAAGGATCTGTCCTACGGCCCATGGTGATGGTACACAAATGTAAGGGAATGCGATGCCCCAAATGAAAATGAGGTTGATAAAACAGTGTACTAATCTAAAAATATTGACTGAGTAGGAGAAAAATTTAGAACAAAAAATCAAATTCACAAAAAAGATGAGACTTACTGGTCTGACAGAGACTGGAGGAACCATGAGACTATGGCCATAAAACACCCTTCTGACCTGGAATTGAAGCCATTCCCGGAGACCACCTTTCAGCCAAACAATAGACAGGCCCGTAAAATAAACAGTAACAGCGGAGACGAACGCGTCCCTTAGAACAATCAATTATACGAGATCAAAAGGAAAACATTTGCTGAAAAAGCAAAGAGTTGGCAGGAAGGGGTAGAGAATCCAGACAAAAGGAGACGAGGAACCCAGGGTGGCAGTGGAGAGAGTGCTGACACACTAAAAGGAAGGCAACCAATGTCATGGAACACTTTTTGTACAAACTATTGAATGGGAAACTAATTTGTTCTGTAAACTTTCACCTAAAGCACAATAAAAAAAATTTTTAAATAAATAAAAATACCTATGATGGTTATAAGACTGGATGGTGATGAGTTGAGCCAAAAATGGCTATTTTCACTAAATGACTAAATTATCCTCATTTAGCAGGCTCTTACAGAGTCCTATAGTGTTAAGATTAACGTCTTTAAGAGTACATTTATGCATCACCCCAGAAACTAAGCGTTCCAAGAAGGGCCTTTGGTTTCCAGAAAGAAAATACTTTAGTGAATAAAACTCTGACTCCTTGCTTCTCAAACAGATGACTGTCTTAGGGTTCTCTAGAGAAATAGAACCAGTAAGATATATATAAATATGTATATCTACACATAGAGAGACAGATTTATTTTAAGGAATTGGCTCACTTGGTTGTGAGGCTGGCAAGTCCGAAATCTATAGGTCTAGTTGTTATTAGGTTCTACGGAGTCAATTTTTGACTCATAGTGTCCTCCGTGACAAAGTAGGACTGTCCTCTAGGGTTTTCTAGGATGTAACCTTTACTGGAGCAGATCGCCATGTCTTTCTCCCATGGAGCCACTGAATGGGTTCAAATAGCCACCGTTTCACCCAGCAGCCAAGTGCTTAACCATTGCACTGCCAGGGCTCCTTGTAGGTCAGGTAACAGACTGGAGATTCCTTCAGTCTTCTGTCCCCAAATCTGCAGGTCAGGGAAGAGTGGAGGAGTTCTGGCAAGAAGTCTGTTTACAATCTGGAGGCAGAATGCACCTTAGGAAAAACTCCCTTTTTTGCTCTTAAGGCTATCAACTGATTGCATGAGGCCCACCCACATTATGGAGGATAATGTGCTTTATTGAAAGCCAACTGATTTAATTATATATAACTGTTTCATAACGTGAGGCATTGGTGGGTTGGTGGAAGAATTCTCACCTTTCGTGCAGGAGACCTGAGTTCGGTTCCTCGCCAGTGCACCTCACACACAGCCAGTACTCTGTCTTTGGAGGCTTGTGTATTGCTATGATGCTGAACAGGTTTAAGTAGAGCTTCCAGACTAAAAATGGTGTAGGAAGAAAGGTGTGGTAATCTACTACTGAAAATCAGCCAGTGAAAACCCTGCGGATCACAGTGATCTGATCCACAGCCAATCATGGGGATGGCACAGGATTTGGCAGCAGTTCATTCCATTGTGCATGGGATCTCCATGAGTCAGGGCTGACTTGATGGCAGCTAACAACAATTTCAAATGAGCATCTCGACTAGTATTTGACCAAACAACTGGGTACTATAGTCTAACCAAGTTGACACATAAACATACAAAATTAAGTATCACAGCTATACCTTCTGCTTAGGGAGTCCTGGTGGCACAGTGTTTAAGGGCAATGGATGCTAACCAAAAGGTTGGCAGTTTGAATCCACCAGCTGCTCCTTGGAAACCCTATGGGGCAATTCTACTCTTTAGGGTCGCTATGAGTTGGAATCAACTTGATGGCAATAGGTTTGGTTTCTTTGGTTTTTGTGCTAAGGATGGAGTCCTGGTAGTGCAGTGGTTAAGAGTTTGGCTGCTAACCCAAAGGTCAGGAGTTTGAATCCACCAGCCTCTCCTTGGAAACCCTATGGGGCAGTTCTGCCCTGTCCTATAGGGTCACTATGAGTCACAATCAACTCGATAGCAACGGGTGAAGGATGCTAAGGATTATGTGATGCAACAAAATAAGCGTAAATTTTACTGAGGGGAGATAACTGCAACAAAAAAGCTTTTATATTAAAAACAATCATGAGTATATTATGGAGTAGAAGCCAAAATATGTATGAAATGTTGAGACTACAAAGATTTCTTCCTGGGAGACCCTCCTTCAAGCTGTGGGGCCTCTTTGCTCAATGTATACCCCTGAAATACTTAAATGGAAAAGTTTAAGAGACGCAAGGGTCTAGCCTTAGTTTTATAAATCATACTTAGAACAGTTGTCGTCAGAGCCCACAGCTGATTGTGATGATTTTTAATCTGCAATATTGCTGTGAGCTTGAAACTGTTTTCTTGTCCTGTATATACCAAAATTAACATTTATTTAATACTCAACATAATGCGTATTGTAGAAAAGCCAAACCAAATATTTAGCCTTTGATACAATCCGGAAGTCATCAAAATGGAGGATTAAACTTTTTTTAATTATTCTGTTAATATTTAATCCTGAGAGTAAAAATCCATATTTCTGGATCTTCAAGAAAAGTAAGATCTGACAACACACTGCATGACAGCAGTTGGCTGGAGGCGCATATATTGACTGCTCCCTTCAGACTGGCCTCCTCTTGCGTTTGCCACAGTTCTGTGACACTTCTGCTGCATCACCCTTGACTTCATCAACTCATTTCCATCACCTATCTCTATGATACAGGTATTTGAATTTGTGACCCCAGTTTTTGCAATATTGTTTATTTTAAAACTGTTATTGTACTCTCTCATAGATGTAAGTCAGGTTTGATTTCATTAAAAAAGGAGTAAGCTATAAATCTTTTTGATCTCTTGGGATGAAAGGTAGCATTTTCAAATAACAGATTATGGAGAGACTTTGGAAGGATACTCAGATGTGTAAATATAAAAAAAGGAATCCTGGTAGTGAAATAGTTAGCTCTTGGCTGCTAACTGAAAGATTGGCAGGTGGAACCCACCCAGTAGGTCCTCAGGCGAAAGGCCTGACTATCTGTTCCTATAAAGATTACACCTCTAGGTAACCCTATGGAACAGTTCTACTCTGTCACATGGGTTCTCTATGAGTCGAAATCAACTCAACGGCACCTAACAACAAATATGAGAAAAAACGTAAGAAGAATCCTTAGCAATAATATACAGTCATGCGTTGTTTAACATCCACAATACTTCTACGAAATAGGATGTTATGTGATTTGGACATTACAGAGCTCTTGTGGCTGCAGCTCCTCCTCTTGGCACTGAAGCCCCAGATTCCTGTGCCTTGAGCCATGCCTACGGCCTTATACGGGTAATGGTGGCCACCTCTCCTCCCCAGGAAGTCCCCCTCTACCGTCTGTGCTCTTTGGGGCGGGTGGGAGGGGTGCGCTCGGGCCCAGGTGGCAGGATCCGCCTCCCTCACATCCTTATGAACCAAACCCACAGCAGAGAGCCCACCAACCTGGAGTGAGTGGGCCTTCAGTCATGCATGAGTTTTGGTTCTGACTTTGGGTCCTTAAAGAATGTTAGCAATCGTCAAGCCCAACCCCTTCCTTGTACAGACGAAAAAGACCCAGGGAGATACTTTGTCACACAATACACATGACACAACAAAGATTTAGAATTTCAGACCTCTTATTATTCATTGCTCTGTAGAGAATAAAGTAAGAGTATAGCCTTGTGGGACCACAGACGTATATGTGGTTGATGTCCAAACGGACATTATGCCATGCATGACTGTATTGTTACTGCCAGTAAAAGATGCTATATATCTTCTAGTTCTAATGAATGTGAAGTAGAAATAAGTATTATTACACGTTACATTTTACATATTGTGATTTTGCTTTCTAAATTAAGTCAAGAAAGAGAAATGAGCAGTGTATAAAATATTTAGTTTTACATTGTGGCTCTTCTTTTAAGAGTATTGTAATCTATTTAGTTTCTCCCCAAC